ATAGGGCCCCAAACCTACCCTAGTTCGTCTTATTCATCAGGTGATATGCACGACCTCAACCCTTACACTAATCCTCAACTACTGTAGACCCTAAACCCCCTAAACCCTAAAGCCCCTACACCCTAAACATGAAAGCCAGGTGATTTGCACGTCCACCGGGATTCAAGTGGCTGGTGGCAGATGTCTGAGCAAGCGCCCCGGAGCGCCGTACCTCCCAAGCTTCTAGTGCTTTGAGTTTATGGTTTTAGAGCTAAGCGTTTGTGAGTTAACTAACGGCCTTTTACAGTTTAGGGTTTCAGAGTTGTCGGGATATGAGTTCATGGTTAGAGCTCTGGGTTTTGAAGTTTAGGGTCTTGGAGCTTTGGGTTTTGGAGCGTAGGGTTTCTGAGTTCACAGGGGCATTAATGGGCTGTGGATGTGATTAGAGACACTGTGCTGCAGCCTCATTCATGGGGCCCGCCACTGCTTGCCAAAACATCTTCATCAAGGTTACCCCATTGAATTGTAACCCCGGTGCTAGAAGTCTACAAATAATTGGTACATTGGGGCCAAACGTCTACAAATAATGCCTTTTGCATGGAGTAGAGCATTCGGGTATGTAAAGCTAGAAGCCCGGCTTATAAGTACTTAATAACTGCGTGTCATGAAGCTCCAAGCGGTTACCCTAAACATGAAACCATAAAGGTGTCAGGTTTGGGTTTTAGGGTTCAGGGTTTGGGGAGTTGGGGTTAAGGGTAGATTCGAATTTCAGAGTTTATCCGAATGTCCACAAAGAATATGCCCCCTAGCGCGGACCCAGAGAATCTTCTTCTCCCGGGAGGGGGACCACCCGGGTACCTCCTGTTGCGATGCGCCCTAAACCCTAAACCTTTTTCATGCCTTCATTTCCTAAACTTGCCTTGACACCTAAACCGACAACCCTAGCCCGACACCCCGTTACAGTGGCCTGACCTAAGGGTCCATGTGCCCAATAACTAGGTACCTGGGATATTGGTAATAGCATTTGTTGTACGGATTTTGGGCAAGTATATGATTGTTGGGTACTTGGACCCTGAGGGTGAATGATTGCTTATGTTGTGGTTGTAGATTCCTTGTAAAAGTACGGTGTAGGGTACCTCAAATTGACCTCCAATGGACATTGGCAGTTATAGAGCCCGCTACAGTACACTAGCTGCCATTGTCTTTTTCCATTCCTGAACTCTCTGTCAACCACCATGTTGGAGCGACAAGAATATCTCCCCCCTAAGAACCTAGACCTGCCACGCTTTCGGGGAAGTTTGAGTTGGGGATAAAGCGTTTGAGCTTAAGATCAACAGCCCTTCCCCCCAACAGTACCCGGGTATGCATAGGCGCAACACTGAGACTCCCAGTCAAACTTTCTTTGCACTGAGAGCATTCCACTACTCGGAATGGAAGCTTGTTGAACAAAACCTCATGTACTGTATTTGGCCAATGCCACGGGCGGGTCACAATCCTCGCATCGCTCAGGGTTTGTGCCGTACTCTAGGCTGCAAATAGCCCAACTTTTATAAGCTACTATTCATACCTTGAGATCACAAAGTAGGTATTCTTATGAACGTAGAGCCCAAGTGAAAGCAAACAGTGACTGCAATTAACTGAGGACCATGTGAGTCTGGCTTCGTCAGGGACGAATATTTCGAGGAAGGGCCGGCTGATGAAGTATTTGCAGTTTTCAGACTAAGATTGCAGTGCAGGGGTACCCTTCAGGGAGGAATCTTTCCAGAGTCAGGGGAATCGGCGCGAGGACCTTTGGGGTTTGCATCATCACGCTGATCGTGAAACTACAATCTGGGTCGAAGAGATCAAACTTCAGGGTGTTTGGGCTGTGCAGCAAGAAGGTACCCTAAGGGTCCAAGGACCCAATTAATAGGGTTTTAGGGCCCAAATACCATTGTATAATCGCATCTGGGCTCTAGAACCCAATTATTTGGGTCCTTGGACCTTTAGGAGTAGTAATGAGAGCTCCCAGGGCAAGCATCTAACGCTAGCCCTGCTGCCCCCGAAAAGTTCACTTTATCCCCTGTTGGTCCAATCACCTGCTTTCGGACACCCCCGCTGCAGAGGGAACTACCACAAGCACGACGATCAGAACACATGATGATCAAAGCGTCCATCCCTGAGATGTAAAACTCCCTGCGGCTTGGGATTCAGCGTAGTCTCCTGTCGAATTCCCCTGCTTAAAGGGTAGGAGCAAAATATTCAACAAATGGGGATGCCCCTAAGCTTTCACAGGGATTAGTGCCAGCAGTATGACTTTAGTATCTTGTACATGACGATCCGATGCTTAGCTTGTCCGACCCTCCGCTGGATGTTCAATGGCAATTCTATCTGACTTGTTGCTGTACTCATCCTAACCTGGGTATCTGCCTGAGAAGTACATGTAAATTAGGTACAAGTACAGTAGTAAGTAGGTCACAGCAAGCATATATGTGTATACACATATATAGAGTCAGCATTTGTAGCTTGCACCTTATCAGAAATAGATGCCTGACAGATGATCAACTTCCGAGGATTTCTCGGTTACGGAATATACTTAAGATTCTGCTAACGTTCATGGGGGCACTGAATGTACGGTGTGCTTCTGAAATCCTATGCTCGCTATCCTTTCGCCGTAAACCCTTAAACCCTAATACCTTAAACCCTATAACGCCCTAGACCCCTAAACCCTTAAACCCTAAACCCTAAGCCCTAAAACCTTGCATGCAGCAGCGTGGCTCTGAATTGCCTTGGGGGGCTCAGCAGCTGCCATCTGCTCAAGGTCAGAGAGGCAAACGGTGTATGGTTTAAGGTTTAGGGTTTGGAGTTCAAGGTTTAGGGTTTCGGGTTTGAGGTATATACCCTACAATCCCTATATAATCCTATATAACCATCCCTATATTACCCCTATATATATATATATTTACACTTAATAATTTGATTTACGGTGTAGGGTTTAGGGTTTACCGTAAGAAAACTTGATGCGCAGTTGAGATCTTACAACCTGAGCTCCAAATCCCAAACTGTCCCGGTTTAGGATTTAGGGTTCAGGGTTTGCTGCGCAATGTTTAGGATCCAGGTTCAGCATGTGGGTTGTTCTCAAAATTATGGGCCCCTTTTGGCTATAGATTATATTACGGCACTAATATTCAGGGGTACCAGAGTGGGTCCCAATCTTAATTTTGGGAAATACCCATGTAGCGGTACGGGGTTTAGGGATTTGGGACCAGGACATACGTTCAACTCGTTCGTGCTTGGTATGGGAGTAGGGATTGGATGATTTGCTTCCTTCACCCTGAATTCTCTCCGGGTGGGCTAGCCCAACCATTGCAGAATTGTTGTCAGCAAGGTGCTTGCCCTCCCTCAAACGGACATGGAACCCCGTAATGTAGAAGCCTCAACTTTGCCAATGTAATTTGTGGTTTAGTGGGAGCACCTTATACCAAAAACTATACTTGGATGCTGATTGTCATGAACGCAGAATAGTAGTTTCAATCTTATTTGCCATTATCCCAATCTAACCTCAACATAACCCCAAAATACTATAGTATAGGCGGAGAGGCATGATGGCTTCACAAGAGAAAGAAAGAAAGGTTGCTGATTGCATTCAACATGGAAGCTTAACCCAAACGGAGTACAATGCCTCTAGCCGTTACGGTGTGTCACAAGCTGCCACATAGCTCAACCCTAAATCCTAAGCCCTAACTCCTAAACCCTAAACCCCTACCCTAAACCCTAAATCCTAAACCCTAAATAAACCACACAGCATCATGCCGGCCATCCCAAGAGCCCAGGGGGTTGAACATAATCTGGATCACTATAGGGGCCTACACAATCGTTTCTAATACCGTGGTCCTAGACTTCTTGTACACTTATGATATAAGACACCTCCAAAAATCCTGAAACATCACAGTGGCAATTATTAAGGGCTCTGCGCTGCTTGCTGTTGCAAGTTTTTTTTTTTTTGTGTGTGTGTGTGTCTGTG